AATCGGTCCACAACCGTGAGGATGCCGTTGTGCCCGAGCCGGTCGCGAGGAAACGGACCGGTGACGTCCATGGCAATGGAGAGACCGGGTTCCCGTGGGATAGGCATCGGGTGTAACTCGCCGTAGGGATTGCGGTTGCGGGGCTTGCTGCGTCGGCAAACTTCGCAAGAGTCGCAATACCGAGTGACATCGGTAATGAGGTCGGGCCATCGGAATCGCTGTCGAAGTCGTGCAATAGTGCGGTTGACTCCGAAGTGGCCGGCGAGTCGTGAATCATGGTACTCGCCGAGGAGGCGAGTCCGAAGATGACGGTCGCGTGGGACACATAGTAAGTCCTTGCCTCTCGAGTGGAGGAGCAAGTACCCGTCGGCAGTGCGGTTATGGCTGGTCGGCGGGTAATCCGAAGATAGCTTCGCATAGAGCGTGCTGAAATCCGGATCAGACTGATATGCCCGGATGAAGTGTTGCTGAAGCTCCTCGTCGAATTTGAAGGCATGATGAGTCATAGCGCAAAGATCAGGTCTTCGCGAGAGTGCATCTGCTGCGCGATTTGAGAGGCCGGGAAGATGTTTCGGTGTGAAGTCAAACTGGTCGATGAAGAACATCCATCGTCCGATCGTACTGCTCACCGTATCTTGCGTCTTGTAGTAGGTCAATGGGTTGTTGTCCGTAACCCATGTGAACCTACGACGCCCAAGGAGGAAGTGTCACCATCGCTTGAGAGCCATGACGAACGCGAATAGCTCCTTCTTCCTTGCATCATCAAGCGAGTTGATGGGAGCGTCCGTAGTCACTCTCGTTGGCAAGGTGGGGTCATAGATGCTAAGGACGGGTGCCATGAGCATCGCCGTCTAAAGAGCTTGGAATGACCGGCGTGCGTCGTCATCGAATACGAATGGCACCTTTGAAGACTGTAACCTCATCATAGGTGCAGCAATCCTGGAGTATCCGGTGATGAATTGCTGATAGTAGCCCGCCAATCCCATGAATGAACGAACGTCCGTGGTGTTGGTGGGCTCGGGCCATACACGTAGRGCCTCGATCTTGTCCGCGAGCGGACGGATGCCTTGCGGCGTCACATAGTGGCCCAAGTACTCCAGCTCCTGCCGCACGAATTCACACTTGTCGCGGTTGGCTTTGTACTTGGCCTGTCGTAGCCGCTCCAAAACGGTGCGCAGGTGCTCCATATGCTCCTCCAAACTCCGGCTGTACACTAGGATGTCGTCGAGGTAGATAAGTACGTAACGATCCAGCATGTGTCGGAACTCCGTTGTCATAGCCGCTTGGAAAGTGGTCGGGGCATTCGTAAGGCCAAATGGCATGACCAGCCATTCGAAATGTCCATATCGCGTCTTGAACGCGGTCTTGTAATGGTCCTCCTTGCGAATCTCGAGTTGGTGATATCCTGACTTGAGATCGAGCTTGGAGAAAAACTTGGCGCCGCCCAGTCGCTCGAGAAGGTCGTCGATGCGTGGGAGAGGGTCGGCGTTCCTGATCGTCTGCGCATTGAGCTTACGATAATCGATGCACAACCGCAGGTCCTTGTTCTTCTTCCGAACGAAGAGAACAGGAGCACCGTATGGCGATGAGCTAGGCCGAATCCAGCCTTTCTCTAGAAGGTCGTCGAGTTGTGCCCGAAGCACACTTAACTCTTCCTCGCTCATTCGGTAGATGCAACCGCGCGGAGGTACGACCCCATCCTCAAGGATGATCTCGTGGCGGATGGGTCGATCCGGTACTACTCCGTGCGGGCCTTTGAACACGTCGATGTAAGCGTCGAGAACCTCGGTGATGCGTGGATCCGAAGGTGAGTCCGTCGATGAAGCGTCATGGGGCGGGAGGGCGTGGAGAAAACACACCCCCATCTCCTCGATGTCGTCTCTGATGATGGAAGCTCTCATGCTTGCGGCGGATACCACATGGCAGCTGATCGAAGGATGAGGAAGGGGCACCATGCATGGAACTAATACTCCGTTCTGATCACGAATGTGAACGATGCGTTTGAAGAAGTTCACCGGGTGATCCTCGCTTCGCAGCCATGACATGCCCAAGATCATGTCAAATGTGGTGTCCAGAATATCAAAGGACACCGCCTCACTTGCATGAGGGGCAAAGTACACGGGGACGACGTCAATGCACCGGTCGATTGACTTGTGCGTATGATTGTCTGCCAACGTGGCTTGCGGAGGCTGGGACTTCCTCCGGACACGTGGGCCAAGGCCGGCGCGTACCATGAAGTCCTGGCTGATGTAGTTGCAAGATGCTCCGCAATCGATCAAGGCACTGCAGGTCGCCTCTCCGATCTGAATGCGTACGTATAGCAATGGTGCATCGATGTCGTCGTACCGTTGCGTCTTGAACTCGCGGTCGATCTTTGCGATGTAAGCGTGAAGGTCAACAACCTCTGCTCCGGCGGCCATCAATGGAGTTGGTACTGCAGTGTGCAAGTAATCCCGCAATTGTGTCATGAGCACGTTGCAATGCGGTTTCGGCAATCGTCCGGTCGAGGGAACGGGCATCCACTGGAAGTCCGTGAACGTCAACGGGTCGAGCTCATCAAGTCTTGACCATGACGTCGAATCCCCGGCGATAGATTGCGGCGAAGGTGCCGAATCGGTTGCCGATGGTGATGAAACCRTGCATGCGRTGGAYTGTTGCACGTGGAGCGGTTGGTCCAGCGGTGGAACCAAGTGGACAGCATAGTCCTCGTAAGTGTACCGAGGACTTGCGACATTCGCGTTCCCGCCAGATGTGTAGGAGGCTGCTAGCAAGGCGGCCGAATCTGGCGGAGCAGAAGGTGGAGTCGCCTCATCTTCCGCGGAGCTCAGTTTCCCGAGCTGAGGCGGGGTCGCACATCCTCCTTGCCCTGATCTTGGCACAGGGAGGTCTTGTGCTTGGTGTTGTTGCACCAGTAGCAGCTGCCGTAGCGGCCGCAGACCTTGTACTCTGCCTCGGTCAAGCCAAACTTGACCCATGGAACTTGTACTGGCTGTCCATTCCCGGCCTGCGATGCGGATTTCGCTTGGTGCTTCGCGGCTGGACAGCAGCCACCTGATCTCCGTCACTTGATGCTGGAGTGGCTGCTGGGTTATCTCCACTGTCCTGCTAGACTGCAGCGAAGTGCTGCTGTCGCGGACCAGTTCGTACCTTCTCCACATAGGTCGGCTGCCATGTTGATTTCTCGTGTGCAGCTGACCTGTTGGTCTTGATGATCTCCCTCGCTTTGTCAATGATCTCCGCGAAGGTTGAGTACTGCTCACGATCACCAAGAGCCTGGCTCAATGCAGCACATGATCTGTTGTAGAACTCACGGCGTAGATGCTCGAATGGTAAGTTCAGATTGGGCACAGCCGCAATCTTCTGCCACTCCGTGAGCCAGTCTCGTGTTGCTGTGTTGCCCTGTGACATGGTGAACAGTCGGTTGATCGCGAGTGCTGGCGCGTCGTTGACGATGAACCGCTTCTTCCACAGCCGTTTCAGTTCCTCCCATGTGACCTTGTCCTTCAAGTTTGGTACGTCGACGCCGTGGGAGGTTGCCAGGTGGCTCAACCAGGTCTGGCATCCGCCCTTTGAGTTCAGGAATAGGGCGCCGATGTACACATGCTTGGCTACGGGCAGAATCCTGAGTTGCGTTGTGAATGCTTCCCACCAGAGGACCGGATCCTGCTGCGTGTAGTTGTCGAACTTCTCCCGTTGGAAAGTTGGCATCTCGTACAACTTCGGGTTGCCATCTGCGTTCGTCGTCTGCAGCTGCTGGACCTCGGTCTTCAATGTATGCAGCTGACTGCTGATGGTGGTGGTTGGCGCAACGAAGGTGCTGATGTCGCCGAGCGTTGCCACTACGTGGTCAACGCGGTCCTCCAGTTGGCGGCTAGAGGGTGCACTGCTGGAAGCTCCAGCAGCTGGTCCTGGTACAGCCTGTTCTTGGTCCAACAATCGGGCATTGAGTGCCCGAGTTGCATCCTCGTGGCCCTGCACTGTGCGGCGGAGCGTTGCCAACTCCTCATGCTGTTGCATCAGGTCCCGGTACTGTCTCTCCAACTCGGACCGTTGGTAGTTGCAAGCATACATCAACCGTGTCACGAGTTTGGAGAGGAACTCCTTGTGCTTCTCTTCCGGTGTTGCCTCGTCGCCGTTCGGTTCAAAATGCCAGAACTTGAGTCTGTCGATACTGTTGGCTTCATGCCGCTGCAGCAGATCCTGGGCTTCCTTGCGACGAGCCTGGGCATCTGCGTCTGCATCGGCCTGTAGCTGCAGTTGCTCTGCTGCTGCTGCCTCTTCAGCCTGTACGCGGGCAGCCTCCGCTGCCAGCTGGCGTTGTTCCTCAGCCTCGATCTGAGCCTGGAACCACTGCTTGTAGGCTGCAAGGGACTCGTTGGGGAGATGGCCAGTCAGGCCCGTCATGTTGCTGACGTGGCACTGCTGACGTGGCACTTTGTCTGACATGGCACTGTGTCTGACGTGGCACTGCTGACGTGGCACAGTGTCTGACGTGGCACTGCTTACGTGGCACTTTGTCTGATGTGGCACTGTTGACGTGGCACTGCTTACGTGGCACTGTGTCTGACGTGGCACTGCTTACGTGGCACTGCTGACGTGGCACTGCTGACGTGGCACTGCTGACGTGGCACTGCTTACGTGGCACTGTCTGACGTGGCACTGCTGATGTGGCACTGTGTCTGACGTAGCACTGTACCAACCCGGAAATGCATGCAAAGGGGTTGGTGGGAGTGGAGAACGTAGGTAGGCAAAGAACCCAACAATACTTCCCTCCGGCCCTAATCAACAGATAAATAAAATAAAAAAATAAAAGAGGACTACTTCCTTTTTTTTTTTTTTTTTTTATATATCTGTCGATCTATTATGAGTAAAACATGTCAGAAGAGTATTATGAACGAGATCTAGGCTAGGTTCCGCAAAGTTTTGGCTTTTACAACTGCGATCTTGAAAAAGAAAATTTTGCCAGATGGAGTAAAGATGCGATTTTCAGAAGAGAACGAAATCCAGTTTTTGAGAATATGCAACCTCCGAATATGCCTAACGCAATCTTGGTAGGCTTCGCAAGATTTCGGTTTTCAAAAAAAACTTTGCGAGATAGAATGGAAATTCGATTTTCAGAAAAGAATAATTTCAGTTTTCGAGAATATGACTACTTCTATCGTTATCCCAATATGCCTAGAGCACGAAATACTAACTTCAGAAATTTCAGCTATGAATGCGAAATATCAAAGATACGAAATACTACTATCGGGAATTTTCAGACCAAACTAAATGCGATTTATCAGAAATTTTCAGATATTTGTCACGTAAAAACGAACTACTAATATCAGAAATTTTCAGGTAAAACGAAATGCGAATATCAAAAATTTCAGATAGTTGTTGCGAGAAAAAAAATTTCAGAGATTTGACGAAGTCCTACTTGCGTTACTAATGAGTGATCAATAGATCGCAAGCTGGCTACTTGATTGAGCGGGTCCTCTGAATGAGAGGTCCGCTCCGATACCAAACTGTTGCATACTGTAACGTGCAGACCAGAACAAGAATCGACCTTTCAATACAAAGTATAAAATAGCACAGCGGAATACTTAAATACTAGTGATCTGAACAATCAATGTTGCAATGCAGCCCTGAACATACATCATCATCATCGTCACATGGTGTGAATGGGGTCTGGCGCTTCACACAAGAAGACTGCGCCAGCCCATACCATACACAGGCGAAGAGGAAGGGGATAGATGAGCAGGAGGGGGAAGATGGGAATGTCGTCAACGCCAAGTCTTCGACACAAGCCCAAATAGTCCCTCGTCGAAATGTTTGAATCCCAAATGTCAAGTCTGGATCAAATGTCGTCAAGTCTCAAGTCACAACTCTGTCTCTCTGTCGTAGTCTGAGAAGTCAGGTGGCGAGAGGGTGAGAAGAGATGGTGGACTCAGAAGAGGAAGAAGAAGAACGCTCTCTCTCTCTGTGTCCAGTACTAACCTGTGAAGTTGGCGCGTTGATGCAGGTACCACGAAGATGGAGCTGGAGCGATGGCGCCACAGGTAAGTATCACTGGCCTCCGCCAGTCTCTGTAGCGGACCTCGGGTTGGCCTGTGAGACCAGCCCCTTGGCCTGTTCTCACAGGCCTGTGCTATATTCGGGGTAGGCCAGTCCAGGCCGGTACCTCGGTCGGTACCAGCCAGTCCAGTCCAGTCCCGTCAGTCCGCTGGGGTATACCCCAGCCATTGTCTGTTTTCATTCATTGATCACTTGCACATTTTGGAGTACGTGCGTTGGAGTCTTGCGTGGGGAGCTGCGTTGTGCCATGTTGTTCCCCCTTCTTCCTCCATCTCCATCTCGGTCACTAGCGGAGCACCACACCTGGTGGGTCCGCTACATTGGTATCGGAGCGGGAACGGTTCCCGCCCCCACCCACCACACCGCACAGCAGCGAAATACGGCAAAACCCGACAGTCGGGTTTCGGCTGTTTTTAGGGCGTTTTCGAGCGAAAAAGCGGGAAAAACGGCGGGAAAAGGTGCTGCATCAGGAGAGCTCCACGTGGCGAAAAAGGAAGCCGCATCACGGCGCTTGCGCGAGGCCAAGGCCGCCGCACGCGCACGCGTCCACGCTGCCCCCCCGCTGCCCCGCCCCGCCCCGCTCCCGGATTTATATTATCAAGATCTGGAATGCAGCTGCTGCTGTAGGGGTTTGAACCCAGGCACTGCCGGAGCCATGCGCGTGCGTAAGCAGCCTCATAACACACTCGCCACAGTGTGTCCATGG